CTGCTCGCGCTAGAGGAGCGGCTGCGGCGTTTTGGCATCCACCGCCACAACGTCGGCCGCCACGCCGCGCGCCAGGCGGTGCAGACGTATGTGGCGGCGCTGCGGCGGGAACGTGTCGGGGAATGCAGCCGCGCCGACTTCTTCGAGTGCGCCTACAACGAGCTGCTGGCACAGATGACACGACGGGGCATGGCAGGTGACGCCGATGAGGCGCCGGCCTCCGCGCCGCCACGTGCGGTGCACAACGAGTACCATCTGGAGGACATCGACTTTGCCCTTATTGAGGGTAGGACAATCCAGCTCGACAACATCTGCTTCCGAAACTCCGACTTCGTGGGCTCGATGCAGCTGCGCTGGATCACCACTGGTGGACCGCCACAGCAGCAGAACCACGGCGTCAGCGCGGATGGCGAGGATCCTATTATGGCGGCCTGTCCATACGGCTACGGTGTGTGTCTGCTGTATCTCCCGCCCCGGACTGCACGTGAGCAGGAGCGCTGGAGGTGCCCGTCTGTAACAGCTGGTGAACAGACGCTGCTGCAGCTCTCGCGCGACATTCTCGGTAGCATGGAAACAAGCTTCAACTGCTTCCAGTGGCTCCTCTCCCCACCGGTAGAGTCGTATGAGATCCCTGGGCTGATTCACTTTGTTGCCGTTGACCGTCGCACGAACAGTGGCATTGTGGCGAGCTTTCATCGCATGATGCACCAAAAGCCGCGTCACGTGCAGGAGGCCGTGGCGTCGCTAAAGCGGCTCGTCGCGCTGAACATCAGCCGCGCGCACACGCTGCTCCACGCGGGGTACTCGGAGGGGCTNTGGGGGCACTTCGGCATGCAGTTCTTCTACTGCGTGTGCGCTGTAGATGAGACCGCGGCGCTGACCTCTCCGCCGCCACCGAGCACGGCGCCAGCCTCACATGAACCGCCGAGAAGGTCATTCTTTTCATTCGGTGGCGAGGGGCTACTTTCGCCGCCGTCGTCAGCACCGTCGAAGGCAGCGGCGGCAGCAGACGCAGCAACAGCAGCAGCTGCCGCATCATCATCGCAACCAGCTGAGGAATCGTCCACATCAACGGTGGATACTGCGGATTCTCTGTTTGGCTCGCTCGACGCGCGGCTGAAGCTGCCGTCAGCCACGCTGCCACACTTGGTGCTGCGCCCCATGCTGCTGCCCGACTTCACGTGTAATGAACCCGAGGGGCATCGCGTTGTGGAGGTGTACGCGGTGTTTGTGGGCACCATGTCGCCGGCAGAGGTCTGCAAGGGGGTGGAGAAATTGCTCCGCAGTCGTGTGCTTCCGCCACGTGGGGGCACTTATTGATGCCGGAAGCACACGTGCGGCTTATCGATATGCGAGTTGCGGTTTTAGTCATCCTGTCATTGTTTCTTTTTTGGCAGAGTTTGGTATCAGACTATTTTTCTTCAACCCACCTCTTTTCTTTCCCTCTCTCTCTCTCTTTCTCTCTCTCTCAGGCTCACACGATCACTTCACACGCTCGTTGCGGCTGGGTCGACGACGTCATGGAGGGGAGCAGTGATGAGAAGATGCAGCAGCAGCAGCAGCAGCCTGCTCCGCACGTGGTGGATGCGTCTGAGCCGCACACACAGCCGCCACCCCGCAAGAGTCGCCTCAACGACGAGCGGGTGGTGCTGCTGGGGTCTGTGATAGGCGTGGCGTGCTGGTCGCTCGCGGGGAACGCGAGCCGCCTGGCGTTGCAGAGCGGCTTCCAGCACTTTTACTTCCTCGAAACATACAGCACCTTCGCGCCCAACTGTGTCGGCTGCTTCGTGATGGGCCTCGTGGCGGCGCTGGCGTCGACGCCGCCGCAGGACGCCACCTTCCCATGGATCTACCGCAGCATCCTTGTCGGCTTCTGTGGCTCCCTCACGACGTTCTCCAGCTGGATTCTCGACGTGGTGCAGAGCAACACCGCGTCGCTCTCCTTTGGTGAGTTAATCTCTGGCCTGACGATGCCGTTCATCTTTCTTCTTTGGGGCCGTGACTCGGCGCGGTTTGTGTGGTTTCTGCTGACATTTGCAACGAAGGGTAGCGGCGTGCATGTCGCCAATGTTGTCTTTCTCGCCATCTCGGTTGTGGCAGCCGTGGTGATTCCCATATCATTGGAGGTGGCAGTGCATCAAGGCCTGCTTGACCTCCCCTTCGCTGACCGGCGGGCGGTTGTCCTGGGGCCGCTGGGTGCTCTGCCGCGTTACGGGCTCTCGCTGCTGTTGAACGGGATGAATCGCGTACACAAGTTTCCGCTGGGCACGCTCACTGCAAATGTTCTCGCGGTGCTGCTCACAGGGTTGCTCGATTACTTCTACCGCAAGACAGGCAACGTGTGGTGCGTCATCGTGGAGAATGGTCTCTGTGGGGCCCTCTCCACGGTGTCGTCGTTTGTGCAGGAGATCGTTGTGTTTTACTCGCAAGGACGCCGTAACATGGCGTACATATACGCTTTTGCGTCTGTGGCATCGTGCTGTGTTGTGATGGCTTTGTGCCGTCGCCTCAAACCGTAATCCGTTGTGTGGTGTCGTGGTGAATATTTATGTCTGCGCTTCCATTCGCTGCGTGTATCGCACGCGATGGAAAGTCCCCACGGGGAGACAGCTACAGCTTCTGCGGGTCCCTTCTCCTTTGATGTCTTACCCCCTCCCCATTCATCCATCCATGCACCTTGTGGCCTCACTCCATATCTTCCTCTCCCTCGTCTCTTCTTTCACCTACTCCACCCAAGAGAGGTCTAATCACTTTCTCCTTGTATCTCCGTTCGGTGGAAATCTGCTGCTTCAAGGGAGGCCTGTACAATGTCCGGTGGCGCCCCCCTGCCGCCATCGCAGATGGACCTGCAGAAGGTGACCGAGGTGCAGTTCGAGGTCTTCAAGGAGAAGCAGATCAAGGACTACGCGGTGTGCCTCGTCGAGCAGGCCAAGTCCTACGAGCGCGGGCAACCGGTGCGTGGCGGCATCAATGATCTTCGCATGGGCACCACTGACTTTGAGTTCGCCTGCGAGACGTGCCACCGCAAGCACCCCGAGTGCCCCGGCCACTTTGGCTACATCGATCTCGCTGAGCCTGTCTTCAACATCGGGGTGTTCGACCTCGTGCTGCAGTTGCTCAAGTGCGTGTGCAAGTCGTGTGGCGCGCTTCTGATGAACACCAGCGACCCACAGGTGCACAAGAAGCTGCAGTACCTCACCGGTGTAAACCGCCTCCGCCAGGTGGTGAAGATGTGCGGCATGAAGTGCCGCATGTCGACGGACGCCGCCACGCCGGAGGAGGCGGCAGTGGCGCGTGGCTGCGGCGCCACGCAGCCGCGTATTGGCCGCTTCATCGGCATCTACCCGACGCTTATTATTAAAGCGACGCTGGAGGAGCAGGACATGGTGTGGCACGCCGACACAGCGCGGCAGGTGCTCGACCGCATCTCCGACGAGGATGCGCGGCTGATGGGCTTCGACCCGCTGCGCTGCCACCCGCGCGACCTCGTGCTGACGGTGCTGCCGGTGCCGCCGCCGCAGGTGCGGCCCGCCATCGCATTTGGCAGCCTCAAGTCCGACGACGAGCTGACGCACCAGATCATGTCCATCGTGAAGCGCAACAACCAGCTGCGCAAGGACAAGGAGTCGGATGTGCAGGCCGCGATTGACCGCAGCCGCGCACTGCTGCAGGAGCATGTCGCCACCTACTTCAACAATGCCTCCACGTACTACAAGCCGACCAAGGTGAACGACACAAAGAAGCTCAAGTCGCTGACGGAGCGGCTGAAGGGAAAGTACGGCCGCCTGCGTGGGAACCTTATGGGCAAACGCGTGGATTTCTCTGCTCGCACCGTCATTACGGGCGACCCAAACATCGATGTGGATGAGGTCGGTGTGCCCTTCTCCATCGCCATGACGCTCACCTTCCCGGAGCGCGTCAATGCGGTTAACAAGAAGCGGCTTACGGAGTTCGCACGCCGGCCAGTGTACCCGTCGGCGAACTACATCCACCACCCCAACGGCACCACCACCAAGCTCGCCCTGCGGCGTGATCGTTCGAAGGTGACACTCAACATTGGCGACGTCGTGGAGCGGCACATTATTAACGGCGACGTGGTGCTCTTCAATCGCCAGCCAACGCTGCATCGCATGAGTATGATGGGGCACCGTGTACGTGTTCTCAACTACAATACCTTCCGTCTTAACTTGTCCTGCACAACGCCGTACAACGCCGACTTTGACGGGGATGAGATGAACTTACACGTGCCGCAGAGTCTCCTCACAAAGGCCGAGTTGATTGAGATGATGATGGTGCCCAAGAACTTTGTGTCACCCAACAAATCCGCCCCGTGTATGGGCATTGTGCAGGACAGTCTCCTCGGAAGCTACCGCCTCACCGACAAGGACACCTTCCTCGACAAGTACTTCGTGCAAAGCGTGGCGCTGTGGCTGGATCTGTGGCAGCTGCCGGTGCCAGCGGTGCTGAAGCCGCGTCCGCTGTGGACCGGCAAGCAAGTCTTCTCTCTCATCCTACCAGAGGTGAATCACCCGGCGACGCCGCATGATAAACCGCCGTTCCCACACAACGACTCGGCAATCATGATTCGTCGCGGGCAGCTGCTGTGCGGCCCCATCACGAAGGGCATCGTTGGCGCCGCACCGGGCTCGCTCATTCACGTCATCTTCAACGAGCGCGGCTCTGATGAGGTGGCGCGGTTCATCAACGGTGTGCAGCGTATCACGACTTTCTTCCTCATCAACTTCGGTTTTAGTGTCGGGGTGCAGGACACAGTCGCCGACGCGGACACGCTGCGGCAGATGAACGAGGTGCTGGTGAAGACGCGTGAGAATGTCGAGAAGATCGGTGCGGCGGCGAACAACCGCACCCTCAACCGCAAGGCCGGCATGACTCTGCTGCAGTCCTTCGAGGCGGACGTGAACAGCGCGTTGAACAAGTGCCGCGAAGAGGCCGCGAAGAAGGCGCTGAGTAACGTGCGCCGCACCAACAGCTTTAAGGTGATGATTGAGGCGGGCAGCAANGGCACCGACCTCAACATCTGCCAGATCGCCGTCTTTGTGGGGCAGCAGAACGTCGCAGGCAGTCGCATCCCCTTCGGCTTCCGCCGTCGCACACTGCCGCACTTCATGCTTGATGATTACGGCGAGACGTCGCGTGGCATGGCGAACCGTGGCTACGTGGAGGGGCTGAAGCCGCACGAGTTCTTCTTCCACACCATGGCCGGGCGTGAGGGGCTCATTGACACGGCCGTCAAGACGTCCGACACCGGCTACCTGCAGCGCAAACTCATCAAGGCACTCGAGGACGTGCACGCGGCCTACGACGGCACCGTGCGAAACGCCAACCAGGAGCTCATTCAGCTCATGTACGGCGAGGACGGCCTCGACGGTGCGCGTATTGAGGGCGGGCAAATGTTCCCGCTGCCGTTCCGCGACAACAAGGAGATGGAGAATGCCTACAAGTACGAGTACGACGAGAAAGGTGTCTTCAATGAGCAGGTTGGAGGCACGTACATGGACCCGCACGTCAAGAAGATGCTGCGCGCTGACCCGGAGAATGTGCGGAAGCTGCAGAGCGAGTTCGATCAGCTCGTGACGGACCGCAACTGGGCGCGCAAGATGCTCGACTTGGAAGAGCGTGAGAAGCTGAAACTGAACCTGCCGGTCAACATTGGACGCCTTATTCAAAACGCACGCAGTACAATGGGTAAGCGCAGCCAGGTATCCAACCTCAGCCCCATCACTATCATTGACCACGTGCGGAAGTTGCAGGACGACATGCTTAAGCTGTTCCCGTGCTATCACAGGGATATGGATGCGCGTATCACCAACGCGCTGAGCCGCCATCGCATTGAGAGTGCCCTCACCCTCTTCAGCGTCCATCTGCGACAGATGCTTGCGTCGAAGCGGGTGCTGCGGGAGTATAAGCTTAACGACAAGGCCTTCGAGTACCTGCTGAAGGAGATACGAACTAAATACCAGCAGTCCCTCGTCTCCCCTGGTGAGAATATTGGGGCGATTGCGGCACAGTCCTGCGGTGAGCCGGCGACGCAGATGACGCTCAACACCTTCCACAATGCCGGCATTTCATCCAAGAACGTCACGCTTGGTGTGCCGAGGCTGCTGGAGCTGCTCAACGTGTCACGGCACCAGAAGCACGCGAGCATGAACGTTGCCCTGTACCCTCCCTGGGATAAGAAGCGCACAGCGCAGCAGGCGCAGCACCTCATCGAGTACTGCACGCTGGAGAGCGTCACGAAGCGCATTCAGTTCATCTACGACCCCGACCCGCGCGAGACGGTCGTCGCGGCGGACCGCGCGATTCTCGAGCTCGAGTGGAGCGTCATGGACGAGAGCGACGAGCGGGCGCGGCTGCAAGAGGTGGAGAACGGCTCGCCGTGGGTGGTGCGGCTCGAGCTTGATGCCGACATGTTCGTCGACAAGGCCCTCAACATGAAGGACGTGAAGCAGGCCATCATGCGTGTCGACGACGGCTACGTCATTGAGACCGGCATGGCGAACGACACGAAGGAGCGCACCATTCGCATGCGGGCGAAGAAGAACTACGGTGCCGACTCGATTCCGCAGCTGAAGCGTGTCATTCCTGAGCTGCTCGCGCGCGTGCACCTGCGCGGCATCCCGGGCGTGCGCAAGGCGCTGCTCAAGGACACCACAACCTTCACGGTGGACCCGGAAACAGGGAAGATGACGGGCGAGAAGACGTGGCTGATCGACACCGACGGCACAGCACTGCGCCGGGCCTTCATCGGTGTCGTGGACGAGAAGGGCACGAACATCATCAACGCCACGCGGACGAGCAGCAACAAGGTGCCGGAGGTGTGCAGCCTGCTCGGCATTGAGGCGGCGCGCTACAAGATGCTCCACGAGCTGCGCGAGGCCTACCTCGCCTACGGACTCAACATTAATTACCGCCACTACACCATTCTGGTGGACACGATATGTCAGCGTGGCTACCTCATGGCCGTCTCGCGCGTCGGCATTAACCGCTCCGAGACGTCCGGCCCGCTCATGCGCTGCTCCTTCGAGGAGACGGTGAAGGTGCTGATGGGTGCCGCCGCGTTTGGTGAGCGCGACCCGGTGCGCGGCGTTTCGGCAAATCTCGTGCTCGGCAACCAGGCGCGTGTGGGCACCGGCCTCTTCGACCTCGTGCTGAACATGGCCGCGCTGCAGCAGGCGGTGCCGCAGGAGGACGCCGTCGCCCCGGGCAAGGACGTGAACGTGTACCACGGCCTCGCATCGACGCATAACATCCCGTCATCGATGCCGTACCGCGCGAAGGATCACGAGGCGACGCCGTTCGTGAACGACGCGAGTGTCTTCTTCCGCGACGCCGTCGGCGGCGGCTCATCGGCGGCGCCGTTCACCATGTCGACGCTCTACGGCGGCATGCATGAGGCAAGCGCCGTGCACTTCAGCCAGGCGTACCCCGCGAGTGGTGTTGCTGCTGACTACCGCGGCAGGGCAACGAGCGCATCGCAGCCGTACAGCGTCCTCTCGTCGGCGAGTGTGTACAACCCAGCGTCGATGCAGGTACCCTCCGCGGTGGCCGCCAGCGCCGACTACAGCGAGGCGTCCTCCTTCCACCTGCAGTCCAGCATGGCGATGCCGTCTGTGCAGTCCTCGCCACACTACGACGGGCAGCACCAGCAGCAGCAGCCTGGATTATCCGATGCCCGGTTTGGTGGTCTCTCGCCTGCGTACGTGCCGTCGGTGATGTCGAGTGTTGCAGTGCAGCCGTACCAAGGCAGCGGCGACGACGACTCCGCGTCGCAGTCCGCGTTGTATGTGCCGACACTGTCGCCCGTCTACTCTGCCTACACCGCACGCCAGTCGGTGGCGGCATCGCGCCCCAGCACCTCTCACGCAGACCGCCGCCACCACCACCAGCAGCAGCAGCAGGATGACTCAGCGAGTTACGTGCCAGCGTCGCCGGGGTCGCACATGATGCCGCCGTCAGCCGGTGACTTCTCGCCGACGGAGGAGGAGGAAGAGCGCTGAGAGCAGCAATGAGACGCGAGGAGGAGACTGAGAAGGATGAAGGAAAGGAAAGGGAATTATGAGGGATTGATGAGCTGGGAAAAGTGAAGCAGAGCAGCACTGTGAGGGAGTGAAGGTGAAGAAACCAGCAAAGCGGCGAGACGCGGTATTTTAACTATGAGACAATAGAAATCGCTAACTGGCGTGGGCGCCGCCTACTGCTGAGACACACGTGTGTTATCAAGAGGGATACACACTGGAAGGTACATATGTAATATATGCGTGCGTATCTGTTCACATGGCTGAGTCTCATACAATTATGCCTTTTTGCTTCCACCTTCTTTGTTTTGTTTCTCTCTCTCTCTCTCTGTGTGTGTGTGTGTCCCACCCTCCACGGGGCGATGCAGCAGCTCCGATGGAGCAGGATGGCAATGTGCGCAGCGGCGAAGACATCCTCGCCGCGCTACGTCAACTCCGCCGCGACCCGGCGCTGCAACAGCACCTGCTCCACAGTCCAGCGGGCCCCTCTGCCGCTGCTGAGAGAGCCGGAGCGGTGGTGTCAGCACGAGAGCAGAGCAGAGAATCCCTCGTGGCGTTTCAGGCCCGCTGGAGCCGCGAGGAAGAAGAGCGGTTACAGCAGTCGCTGAAAGCGCAGCGGGCGTTTCAGCAGGCGATGCAGTCAATTGCGGCATACAGCAGCCACAACGCTCCCAATGCTGCTGAGGCTGCAGCCGCTGAACGTGAGCCACCGTCTATAGAGCCCTCCGCTGGCCACGTGAAGGCGGGCGCCGCTCCGTTGAGCGTCATGGAGGAGGTGGCAACGATGCAGGAGAAGCTACAGCTTCGGGATCGCACCATCCAACGGCTGCAGAGGGACCTCGATGAGACACGTGCCATGTATGAGGTGGAGATTGCTCGCATGCGAGAGGCACACGCACAGTCGAGCCGCGAGGCGGAGCGGGAGCTCGCAGAGATGAAAGAGCTGCTGACACGCCTCACGCTTGCGCAGGGCTCGCGCGCCGACGCTCAGGCGGAGCCGAGTGGCTTTTTGGACGTGATCGAGTTCAAGGAGCGAATGCTGCAGGAGTTGCACGACGCCTTTGAGAATGCGTCACAGGCGTGGAAGAGCGGCGCAGTGCGCACCGTGACGGGCATGCGCGTGACGGCAGAACAGGAGATTGGCGGCATTGTCGCCCGCGCCGAGGCCCTTCTCCAGCAGCTGCAGGAAGGCCTCAGCATGCTGGAGGCAATGCCCCCTGTTGACGCCACCACCACGTCCCTCTCTGCGGCAGCGGCGGGGCGGCTGCTGCAGGAGGAATCCGCGTTTATGTCGTCGTACGAGGCCAAACTCCGCGAGCAGGTGCGCGCTGCCGTGAAGAGTGCGGTCCGCGCCCGCGTGAAGGACGTCGCTCGGCCGCTGGTGGAGCACGAGCTTGCCGAGCACCGCGAGCGATACACGCAGCGGTGCGCGAGTCCATCCAGTCCATCCCCTGCAGTTGCAGCGGCAGAGGTGGCAGCCAGCGCGGCAAAGACAGCTGCTGCTGCATCACCGCCTCCATCATCGTCGTCGTCGCCCGCGGTGGCGCGCTACGACGAGGCAATGGCGCTCTTCCAGCAAGTTGCGGCACCGCGTCGTGAGCCGCGGACGCCCTCGCAGCGGCCCCGTGAGGTCTCTGCAGGCGGAGTTGCTGCTGCGCTGCTCGAGGAGTTGTCGAGTGGCGCTGCGGTACAGCACTGCAGCGGCTCCGATGGCCCCGTCCGGCCGCCGTGGCTGGATCGCTACTGCTACTAGTACCCACCACTCGTGCTTCTTGCGCAAGTCTGTGCAAGACTGAAGGTGTGCAAGGCCCTGGGTGGATTCATTCTTTTTTTTTTTGTGTCGTTGTTGTTGTTCCGTTTTGCTTCTGCTTTGGGTCACTGACACGCCTCACTGTGTGCTCTTCTTGATGCGTCTGCTGCTCTTTAGTAACCATACCGGCCGTAACAGCCACGCACAAGCCAAAACACCCCTTACTTACAAGCACAAGTCTAAAAAAAACGCCCTGCTGCACGGGAATGCGCACCGCTCTTCTCGTGTGTGCCCTGCTGGGCCTCGCGGCGCTGTCGTCCGTGCACGCCACCGTCCTCTTCCATGAGGAGTTCAAGAGCATCGACCACTGGACGCCGTCGAAGCACCGCGACGAATACGGCAAGGTGGAGCTGTCNGCTGGAAAGTTCTACGCCGACGCGGAGAAGAGCAAAGGCCTGCGCCTCACTGAAGACGCGCGCTTCTACGCCATCTCCACCGCGTTCTCGGAGCCCATCACGAACGAGAAGAAAAATATCGTGGTGTCCTTCTCCGTGAAGAACGAGCAGGACCTCAAGTGCGGCGGCGGCTACATCAAGCTGCTCCCCGCAATGGAGGCGGAAAAGTTCAACGGCGACACGCCGTACTGGTTGATGTTTGGCCCCGACCGCTGTGGCGCTAAGAACAAGGTGCACATCATCCTCCACCACAACGACAAGAACTACGAGTGGCGCAAGAGCGTCCGCTTCCCCGACGACAAGCTGACACACGTGTACACGCTGCACATCGCCCCCGACAACACGTACGAGTTCTTCCTAGACGGCGAGTCAAAGGAGAAGGGCAGCCTCGAGGCGGACTGGGACATGCTGCCGCCCAAGGAGATCGTCGACCCCGACGACAAGAAGCCGGAGGACTGGGTCGATGACGCCACTATCGCCGACCCCGACGACAAGAAGCCGGAGGACTGGGATGACGAGCCGGCGATGATCGCCGATCCCGACGCAAAGAAGCCCGAAGACTGGGACGACGCGGAGGACGGCGATTGGGAGGCGCCGATGATCCCGAACCCCAAAGCGAAGGGTGCGTGGAAGCCGAAGCAGATCCCCAATCCCGAGTACAAGGGCCAGTGGGAGCCGCGCATGATTCCCAACCCGGAGTTCGCGCCGAACCCGGANTGGAAGCCGAAGCAGATCCCCAATCCCGAGTACAAGGGCCAGTGGGAGCCGCGCATGATTCCCAACCCGGAGTTCGCGCCGAACCCGGAGTTGTACAAGATGCCAGAGCCCATCGCCCACGTTGGCGTCGACGTGTGGCAGGTGGAGTCTGGCAGCATCTTCAAGGACATCATCATCGGCGATGACGTGGCGGAGGTGCTCGAGCTGGTCCAGAAGACGTACAGCAGCATGAAGAAGGCGGAGGCCGATGCCCTCAGCGCCTCGGAGAAGGCGAAGGAGGAGGCGAAGGAGGATGAGGCGAAGGAGGAAGTCGATGGTGACAAGGAAGACCTGTAGGAATATCGTTTGCCCTGCGTGCGTGCGTGCGTGCGTGCCCTATGTGCGTGGGTGTGTGCGTGTGTGTGTGTGTGTGCGTGATTTCCTTTAAGATCTATGCAGCCTTAATCCGCATCAAGGCGGTGATATTTTTGTTTTTTTTTTTGTTTTTGCGTTCGCGCGCGCGTTTGTGTGTATGTGAGAGAGAAAGAGGCGCGAGGGAAGAAAGGAGGCGACTAGGAGGCATGCCGAAAGAAGAGGTGAAAAGAAAGCAATAGGAACGAAGGGAAACAATGGGGACAGACCTCGATGTGTGAGTGAAGTGTGAAGAGGAGGTGAGGGCAGAAGCACAACTGTGGGAAAGAGGCAAGGGATGTTTCATCCACTCATCTTTTGCCGTGCTTCTCCCGTCTCTCAGCTTCCCTCTCCCGTGATTCGCTCTCTCTCTCTCTCTCTCTCCCCCCTGTGTGTGTGTGTGTGTGTGTTGCTCTCCCCCTGCTGGTTTGCTGCTGTTGTTGTGCTTCTGCCCGCCGGGGTGGCAGCACCAGCACCAGCGTCGACGGTGTGTGTGTTTGTATGTGCGTGGTTGGCTCATCACTGTGCGCCGGCGGCCCGCTCACACACGCGTGGCGTGTGGTGGTGGCCGCGAGAATACGCCACACGCACATGCACACACGCCCCCACACACCGCAGGATGGGAGCGCAGTGGCCACGGAAGTGGGGGGGGGAGTGTAGGGGAGAGACGAGAAGGGCGAACGGAGAGAATACGCCAGCGGAGCAGAGAGACTGGCGCAGGCGAGGGGGCACCTGCATTCCTCCCGCACCGAGGCAGTTATTGTTGTCCTTTTGTTGGGCCTCGCTCGAACTCGGCATGTGTGCTTGTGTAGTGCGGTGCGCTGTCGTCTCTCTCCTTGTCTTGGTGGGGGTGGTGGTGTTGTTGCTCGTCTTGACTGCGTTCTTCCTCCCCCTCCTCCTCTTTCTCTTTCCCTTTCGGGTTGGTCTTCTGCGTTTACGCGCGTGCGGCTGCGAAGGTCAGTCCGCAGAGTGAGAAGGAGCCAAAATAGAAGGAACAAGAAGTGTAGAGGCAGCGTCCGACGTGTACCTATATTTACTGCGCTAGAAAGCGAACAAGAGAGGGAGAGAGAGAGAGAGAGTGTGTGTGTGTGTGTGTGCGAGACAAGTTATCTATCAATCAGCACCCGAATAGTGTTGCGGCATGGCGTTCAATCTGCAGCAGAAGGTGTTCCGCATTCCCAGCAACATCGTGGTGTCGCTCGGCCTCCGCTGGGACTTCATCGGGGCGGACCCCCTCGACCTCGACCTCAGCGCGGTGTGCTTCACCAGCGAGGGCATGCTGCTGGACTGCGTCTTCTTCAACCACCCGTTCCCGCAGGGCACCAACGAGGCGGCGCTGCGCGACTCCGGCCTGCTCGTCGACCCGCAGCAGCTGCCGTACATGTTCGTTGGCGGCGACAGCCGTATCGGCGGGGAGGAGGAGAACCAACTGCCCGGCCTCGCCCTCGCCGCCCG